TGATAAGGAAAAATAACTATTAAGCTGCCCTCAAGTGTCAGAACCGCACAGAGAAAAAAAGAAACTACACACACACACACACACATGCACAGATACATAGTGAGCTTGCACAAGGATGAGCCGTTGAGCTGTGTGTGCGGGCAGATAGCTTAAGGTCCCATGTATCATGACGAAGCTGTTGACACTTCATAAATACATGAGTTGCACTCGGCGTCCGCTCACACGTGCACAGCGCGCGCGCACACACACATGGGACGGACACACACACACACACACACACACACACTTGTCATTAGGTATGCTTATAGTTGTGCACAATTGTTACTGTTCACGTTATGTTATGCCCTACAGAGTTGGCTAAGCAGTGCATGCACTGCTGGCAGTTGATGCAGGGTGTTGCTTGATGGGCGTGGCATGTTTGATGGAAATAAATATTTTCTATAGAAGAACTAAAGTCCAATTAGAGTTAGGTAGATTGCTATAAGCTGCCTAACACGACGTAATTGATAAAAATTGTAATTGAAAATTTTTATTAAAGGTGAGAGCAGATTAAGGCCAAAGCCTGGACTAGATGTGGGCCTCTTCGATTCACTAACAAAATTTGATAGCAAAAACTCTCCTAAGCTCAAATGCATGACCATTACCTATTGCAGGGTATTAGCAAGTGCTGCATTTCCCCCACGCAAACTATTTTTTTCAACTGTATCTTTTTTGTGCTTTGTCCCCATCCGAGCACTTCAACAAATTTACACTTGTATCACTCATACGCTACGTTTTTATGCTATTTGCACACACACACACACACACACACACCTCAGCACAGGTTGTTGTTGTTGTCAACGCTTGTTTAACGCCTGAATCGTCGCATGCGGGTTACAAGAAAAAACTGCAATGCTACAAAAAAAAAAAACAAAAAAAAGGGAACAGGGAAAAAGGAGTAGAAGCAAGAGAAATGAGGCAGAAAAAAATGAGGAAACAAATTTGAACAACAAAATTAAAAGCACGCGAAATTTGTGTGCACTATGAAAATAAAATGAAGTGAAATGCAATGAAATGAAACACACGATTCGAACGAGGGCGGGCTAAACAAGCGGCAAAAGTGCGAAAGGGCTCAAGGATATGTGTACAGGATAATTGCATGCGCTAGGTTCGCTGAACCAGCTCATGAGTGCATCACTTTGATAGCTCGCAAGCAGTAATGAAATGGACTGCTTCAGAAAGGACAAAGAACTGCAATAATACGTGAGCTTTGCTGCCTGCTTTGTGCTGTGAACCGGTTCAAAAGCGGTACACAGTAATAATCTATTTATGTCAGTATATATAGATCAATCATTGCCTTTGGCTTTTGGAACTTGAAATTGAAACTGTTGGTGACCTTGTCTTCAGTTCATGAACTAGTTCAAAAGACACTTTATTAAAAACATTAGAAAGCAATACTTAGAATAGTTTCAAATAATTGGAAAACCAAGCAGGATATGTTAATGACTTTGTTGTCAGTTCATGAACTGGTTCAAAAGAACTGGTTCATGAACTAGTTAAAAATGGTATAGTAAAATACTTAGCATCTTTCTATATAATCCTATGCACAGCAGCATAATATTTCAATGACTTTCTTTTCAGTTCATGAACTAGTTCGAAAGACACTTTGCTAATAATGTTGTAATGCAATATTTGGAATAGGTCTAAATATCTAAATACACATATTAGCTTATGTGCTGAGCAAGCAAAAATCATAAGTTCATCATCATGAATTTTTGAACCGGTTCAAAAATAGTTCAATATTGTAACTCAATAAGTATTCAGTTAAAAGTGCTGCAATATAGTTCTTAGGCCAGTTTTAAGTACCACTGGTTCTGTCAAGTTCATGAACCGGTTCAAAATAGTTCCATGTCATTGTTCAAGGGCTGCTACGTTACGAATATTTCTTAGAGAAGTATTCAAACAGCTGCAAACCGTGAACCGGTTCAATGCCATAACTTAAAAATTGGAAAAATAAGAAAAGTGGTTCAAAATGAAAGCGTGTGTCGCAAGCCGCACATTTAAAGTGGTTCACAAATGTCTCAAGATCCCAAGTCAAAAATGAAGCGCCGAGCATCGATGGCAAAGTCTTCTGAAGAACAGCAAACGCTTCGCTACTAGAATGGAGAACACAAAACAGAGGGCATCACAGCTCTGGCTGATCACATGGTTTTCTGTCGTGCTTGCGCTTGATGTCGCCCTGGGGCCACGACAAGTGGCAGTGCGACCAAACAAAGAAGAAGAAAAGCACTTAATAGAAGAAGCAGACACGAGACGTACTCTTGGGCACTACGAGTAGCTGGAGCTGGCAATAGAGGCGTGTCAGTTGGCCGGGCTATGCGAAAGGCAAATGAAGGCACAAATAAATGCGAAGCGGAGCAAATGAATCACCGACAAATTACGGTAAGAAAAGGAAATTTCAAAACGGAAATGGCGGCAGCAAAATTTCGTTATGGCCGCATCACAATTTTTTTGTTTTCTTTCCGCTGCGCATTTTTCCACTGCGCTCCTTTTGTGTGTGTGTTTTCTTAGCTGCTTCTTCTTCCTTATACAGTTGGCAACAATATTTGCAGTTTCTTAAGTTTTCGTCTCTCCTTTCCGTTCCGTTCCGTTCCTTTCCCTGCCATTTCTTTTTTGTTTTATGGGCCAGCGGCCAAACGGAGTAGTAGTAAAAATTTTAACATAACTCGAGAAGCAAAGAATACAGAGGCGAAAACTAAAAAAAAAAGAAAAGGTCTTATGAAATATGCATATGCTCATTTGGGCTTACAGCGTGCCACGCCCACACATAAACAAACACGCTCAGCCTTCTACTTTTTTGTTCAGCCTGCACAATTTCATTAAAGCTCGTACGAATCGGAGCTATCCTTTAAGATGTTCGCGCTGGGAATGCTGAAGGGAATGTACGCCTGACTAGTTCAAGTGAACAAGTTCCAGCGATGTGGCCGAGGCTGCGTCGTGTTAATTACCTGAAAGTGAGAAAGAAACGTTACTTATTAAGCATATGTCCAATGGGAACTTATAGTATAGATGAGCTAGTTGTATTGTATAAGTATCTTTTAACTATATAAAAGTATCTTTTGGATATATACAAAGTATCTACAGCAGAAATCTGTGATCTCCAAGATATTTTCATAGAGAACTTATTGTATAGATGAGCTAGTTGTATTGTATAAGTATCTTTTAACTATATAAAAGTATCTTTTGGATATATACAAAGTATCTACAGCGGAAATCTGTGATCTCAAAGATATTTTCATAGAGAGATTATTGTATAGATGAGCTAGTTGTATTGTATAAGTATCTTTTAACTATATAAAAGTATCTTTTGGATATATACAAAGTATCTACAGCATAAATCTGTGATCTCAAAGATATTTTCATAAAGAACTTATCGTATAGATGAACTAGTTGTAGTGTATAAGTATCTTTTAACTATAGGAAAGTATCTTTTGGATATATACAAAGTATCTACAGCGGAAATCTGTGATCTCAAAGATATTTTCATAGAGAGATTATCGTATAGATGAGCTATTTGTAATGTAAAAAGTATCTTTTAGATATATACAAAGTATCTACAGCAGAAATCTGTGATCTCAAAGATATTTTCATAGAGAACTTATTGTATAGATGAGCTAGTTGTATTGTATAAGTATCTTTTAACTATATAAAAGTATCTTTTGGATATATACAAAGTATCTACAGCATAAATCTGTGATCTCAAAGATATTTTCATAAAGAACTTATCGTATAGATGAACTAGTTGTAGTGTATAAGTATCTTTTAACTATAGGAAAGTATCTTTTGGATATATACAAAGTATCTACAGCGGAAATCTGTGATCTCAAAGATATTTTCATAGAGAGATTATCGTATAGATGAGCTATTTGTAATGTAAAAAGTATCTTTTAGATATATACAAAGTATCTACAGCAGAAATCTGTGATCTCAAAGATATTTTCATAGAGAACTTATTGTATAGATGAGCTAGTTGTATTGTATAAGTATCTTTTAACTATATAAAAGTATCTTTTGGATATATACAAAGTATCTACAGCATAAATCTGTGATCTCAAAGATATTTTCATAAAGAACTTATCGTATAGATGAACTAGTTGTAGTGTATAAGTATCTTTTAACTATAGGAAAGTATCTTTTGGATATATACAAAGTATCTACAGCGGAAATCTGTGATCTCAAAGATATTTTCATAGAGAGATTATCGTATAGATGAGCTATTTGTAATGTAAAAAGTATCTTTTAGATATATACAAAGTATCTACAGCAGAAATCTGTGATCTCAAAGATATTTTCATAGAGAACTTATTGTATAGATGAGCTAGTTGTATTGTATAAGTACCTTTTAAATATATAAAAGTATCTTTTGGATATATACAAAGTATCTACAGCAGAAATCTGTGATCTCAAAGATATTTTCATAAAGAACTTATCGTATAGATGAGCTAGTTGTAATGTAAAAAGTATCTTTTAGATATATACAAAGTATCTGCCGCATAGCTATATGATCTCAATAGTCAAAAGTCTATAGCCCAAGCGATTAGACTGATTATAGAAGAGAGGCTGTCAGTGCCTAAGCAAATGATAAGACGAATCTGATTTTATATGTCTTCAGCTTTCATATCTCATTGGAAAATCCCGAGCCAAGTGCTTGCTCCCAGTATATTTGCTTTGCTCTAAACGTCAGTTCGGACAGGTACTTCAATATGGAAGGCTCTCAGTATTCGTTCATTATTCCTTTGGTAAACACAGATAATAAGGATAGGAGCTCACAACGTCGGGCTCATCAAAAAATATTTAAAAAATCAATAAAAAATTTATAAAAAAAGACCAAACAAGCCAGAGGAAAACTTCTAAATGTTTTTAATTAATTTTTTAATTTCGAAATTTTTATAACGTTTTCGTTGATGATTTGCTAAATTTCTGCTCGTTATTTCGAAATCAATATTGTCAGCTGATTGAAAATGTCCATCCGATACTTGATGCTACTGAGCGTGGGCACGGTTAGTGCCATTATCCTTGGTTATTGCATGTACTTTGATCGCAAGCGTCGCCTTGACCCGGCTTACAGGCGGAAGGTGCACGAGCGCCGTCAACAGGCGCAGATTGATGTATTGAAATACCGTCTGACCAGTGGCGACAATGAGTGGGCGCTCAATGGAAGCCTATTGGATACCAGCGATCATACAACTTTGGAGCGTTGCTTCCTTGACGAGATCAAAGTGGGGGAGCAGCTTATTAGCCAGGGCAACATGTCTGATGGCCTCAGCCATTTGGCCAGTGCGATCATGATGTGCGCCCAGCCGATGCCAGTGCTATACACATTGAAGGAATCGCTGCCCGATCGTATCTTCATGCCATTGATCATGAAGCTGTACGAGCTGCAAAGCAATTATAGCAATACCACATCCAGCTCCAGCAAGGACGACTCAACCAGCTATCCAGACTTCAGCTAAATCATTCAATTACAAAAAAAAAAAACTACATATTAAAAAGTTACATATATACATATATATATATAAATATATAAATATATATGTGTATATGCATGTCTATGAGTATATATATCTATGTGTTCCGATATATATTTGTATATATATTTTTATGCATATATATATATATGTATATACATATGTGAATATATATATATATATATATATACAAGATCATTAGCCAAATTGTCAAAAGTGTAATTTCTATCATCAAACCATAAAAGTGGAAGGCAAATACACTCAACAGTATATTTACGTGCACTGTGAAACCACTTTGTTTTGATTTTATATATATTTTATATATATATATATATTCAGCAAACTTATTTGGCTTAGATCAGTGTAAGAAAACAGCAATTGATTCAGTTTAATTTGAAATCGCCAAAATGATTCTATAACAACTCAGCAGATCCAAAGATCCAAAATCATGTTAAGAATGTTGTAAACAGCTTTAAGTCGTCAAGTAGTCTGCGGGCGTCGAGAGTGCCCGACTACGAGATACCCTGTCTTCTCGTCAAAGTAGTCTCTGCACGGCTCAAACATTTATACGTATGAGCTGATAGTTAGTCTTTGTCAACAGTCATATGCCATCTGGAGTGGCTTTGGCAAGAATCGATCGCTAGGAAAAATTTTGCTTTATGTATGTAAAGAACGAATCGATCGACAGATATTTATTAAAATATTTGTTTTTTTTATATAAATTTTTGTAAAGAATATTTGTAGGTTTTTTTATTTTTCTGGATTTTTTTAGATTTCTAAGACATATTCGAAATTGTATCACACAAACAGTCATTTGTATATGAGACTTTCCCTTCAGAGTGCTTTTCGGGCATATGACAGCAGCAAGGCGTTATGCAAATTGAAGCACAGACGCTGGAAAATATTCATACATAATTTCTTGCAGCCAAACGAAAGGAGGCAAATGTCCATTTTGGCTGTCAGTAGCTATGCAGCAAAAAGTTTTGCTGCTGTTTTACAAGCAAATTTTTTGTGATTTTTGATTTTTTGTTTGTTTTTTTTTTTGGGCTTTTCTTCTACGTGCTGATTAGAAAAGGAAGGCAGCGTGAGAAGATGTATGAGCTTCAATCGAGCGCAAGTTCCATATCCATGGCCTCGGCAAAGGGATCGGGTAGCTGCAAGTCGGGCAGCTTGGTCAACAACAGATTGAAGATGCGCTCTGGCAGGGCGACCTTCATGGCCTCCAGCAGGGCGACGGGCTGGGCACAGACCATGATGGCATTGGCCAAATGGACAAGACCCGTGTCCAGTTTGGCCTGCCTGAACAGATCTTCGGCCAGTCTGATTTCGTTTTGGAAATAATGCTGCACAACCTCATGATCATTGAGCTCAAATGTTTCCTCGCTAGCCGCATCATAGACGAACGGCAATGCGTTTATCTTCTGGCGACGCTCGTGCACCTTGCGCTTATAATTGGGATCGGAACGACGCTTCCGATCGTAATAAATACAATAGCCAAGCAGAATAGCACCGGCTGTGCCTGCGGTCAGTACCAGCAGCGAGTTCCTCGACATATTTGTGTGGGTCAATTTAGAAATGAATAGCAATTGACGAGTGCTTTTATTACAGTTTGTATTGATCTGAAATATAATAATCTAATATGTTCTATTTATATTGAAATGAAAATTTGAACTAACAAGAAAATCATTGTATTTCTAGCTCCAAGGAAAAAGTCAGATTTCGCTCAACGAATCAATCTCACTTTGTACTTTAGAACTGGTTCGCCTTTGAATCTAATTAATTTGAGAATATCCTGTGACCTACAAGTTCGTTTAGAAGAAAAGGATGTTGAACAGCAGCAACTTGGGTAAGAGAAGGTTAGAAAATATGATGGGCAGCAGATCGGAATAGGAGGAGGATATGGAGTATAGAGGAAAGTGGGGAAGGAAGTAGGAAAGAGAGTAGGATAAACAGTCTAGAAAAGGGAGTAGGTGTGGGTGTAGCGGACGGACTATGTGAGAGAATAGAAAAGGGGCTAAGGGATGAATTAAAAAAGGATTAGAAAAGATCTGCTCTTTTCTACTGGCATTAAGTAAGAAAAGGGAGTGGAAAAAGAATTAGAAAAAAAAGCATGTTAGAGCATAAAAAGGAGTAGAAGAAAAGAGGATAGATTTGGAATAAACAAAGTTAAAAAGAGAGTATAAAGTAAAATAAGAACAAATTGATTAACATAGTAGAAAAGGAAATAAGGTAGGAATTTGGATAAATAAAGTATGAAGAGGAGTAAAGCGAGTAGAAAGTAGAGTAAGAAAGTAAGTAGAGGAAAAGAAAAGGAGAAGAAAGAAGAGTACGTATAGAAGTAGAAGTACAATACATAAAACTTATTTTATTTAAGTCCAGGCTAACTAAACCTTGTCATTGAACTAAGCAAAGATTCATCCGTCAGATGCATGTCCCAACCACGGCATGAGGCAAAATGTAAGTTGTTCAAAAACTTCCTATGTTCTTGAAGGCGACTGGCGCAGTCGTTACTTGGGCTTAGTTTACAACATCCGTATCAAAAGGAAAATCCCCTTTCAAGCGACATGTCCGCAAGTGTATTTAACCTGTGCCATGCTGCATTAGGCGCCTCTTTCTAATTTTATTTTATATTGTTGCAAGTCACAAATGAAATACGATTCATAAAAAATGTTTATCTCTTTAGCCGTACGCTCGGCTGTCATTATTTAGCGGCTGGACGAAATCCTTGGTCCCTTTTCATTATTTAAGCTAACATGTGCGCAAATACAGGCACACACACACAGAGATACACAGGCACAGGCGCACACATTTACGCACGCTTAAATCTCACGTTACGTTAACGTCAAAGAATTTATCACAATGACAAAATCAGGCAAGCGCAGCTGGTAGACGAAGGGGGCCAAAGGACAGCAGAGCAGACTTTACTTTAGGGTTTAAATGTAACACATTTACAAATTGTTTACACACACACACACAAGCGCGCGCGCGTCTCAGCATGGTGATAAATGATAACAAATTAGCGGTTTGTCTCTTAAGCGAAAAAGAGCGCACCACGCACCACACGCCACACACACATACAAACACACTCACTCACAGACGCATAGACCGTGGCAGAGCGATACCTGAAAGTTACCACAATGCAATAAATCACATCACCTGGCCACACACACACACACTGAGACACACGCACAGGACTACACACGCAAAGCTCATACAGTAAACTCTACTAAATGACAAACATTATCTTGATAGAAATCCAAGACAGAAATGAATAAATATAAGAGAAAGCAGCAGAGAAATATGAGCACGAGGCAAAATATGAAAAGGTATAGAAATAGAAATGGAAATCCGAAGCAAAATAAGATGGAACAATCTGATTCGGAAGAAGCTAGAAAATTCAATGGAAATATTACGTATACGCAAATCGCAACGTTAAACGCCTGTAACAAGAATAACAGATTGAAATACAAAGAAATAAAACCAAACCAGACGAGGCATACGAATTATTAGTCTAATTTGAAGCTAATCAATCACAAACCTTGGACAAAACCCTCTGCCCCACTAAATATTGCGTATACGCAATATGGCATGCAGCGCCTTAGCTGCTTGTAGGTGAAACAAAATAAAGAAGCGAGAGCAAGCAGTGGACACAAAAAGAACAAAATATAAATGAATAAGAATTTAAGCAACTAGCTAAGCGACTGGCAGATCTTAATCTGAATATTACGTATACGCAAGGCAAGCCATTAATAGAATATATCGAAATAAATTGAGAGCATAGCTAAAATGGAATTCCAGGAGATAAATGATAATCAATTGGCTATTAGACAGGTTCCTCTTAGTGAGTTCGCATTGTAAATATTACGTATACGCAATGCTTGAAGTTGAATGTTTGCAGTTTTTACCTACGGCGCCCGCGTTTGTGTGTGTGTGGCGGGGTCAGGGGCGTGACGCTCGCTTAAGAAGCTGCTTTCTTATGCATGCATGAAGTAGATGCCAGCATCACAGTCGGTGCCGTAAGTTGAGACAGCTAGCAGAGTTTACCGTGAATCCTGACGCCTGAATCCTGACCCGTGCTAGCTAGCGCACGTACTCCGGCTGCCGTTACTGCCTGATGTCCTTCTGGCATCCTGTGTGAATCCTTTTTGCTCGCCTGCACAGCATTTATGAGTTGTTGCCCCGCCCATTCAAGCGCTGAGCCGCCCACGGCCGCCCGCACCGACTCTTCAACTGCAGCATGAACGCCGGCAGCAGCAGCAGCAGCAGCAGCAGGATGCCACGTTGTGAGCCGGGTCGTTTGGGTGTTAAGTGTGTGCTTGCGCATAATACATGCCACACACACACACACATACACATCACATACACCATACACCAAACACACACAAACAGCACCGGGCCGGCTCTAGCTAGAGGCTGGGGCGCATTTTAATTATCATTTTCAGATTCGGGCGCGTTTGGAAAACTATGAAAATTTAATGAGAGCTGGCTGCGAGTAAAATTAGAGCCACCAATTTGCTGCAGGCGCATCCACACACACACACACACACACACACACACAAACACATACAACCACATGTGCATTTGCATTGCCGGACAAGGACTGCTTCTTCAGAGCCTGCACGCCAGAGATCCTGTTGAACTTATTTCATTACATTAGAAAATATACAAAAAAAAGCTATGCAACCTCAACGCTATTTGTTTTTCAGTTTATGCATCCTAATGAAGCAACTTCCACCGAATGTCTAAGTGTGTGTGTGTGTGTGCTGGACAATTTGGTCAGCGCGAGCTGCACTGGATACTGCTCCACTTACCGCGCACCCACTTAACAGGGTTAGCCGCATTTTAATCGCTTTTAATTCAAGTTTTTGCATTTTTAATATTCACTTTTATTAATTAACCATGTTTCAGGCTTAAATTTCAAATTAAATGCTCGAATTATATTGTCAAGAGCTCTAATTTGATCAAAGCTTAGCTAATTTGTGTTC